ACACAACAAACGTAAACTAAGCCTAACGTATGACCACCAACGACGACGCTTGTCGAAACGAAACCACGTTGCATCTATCGATACCCGTCTGTTGGAGATATTTCCAATGAAGATGAGTGAAATATGCCTAATATGTGCGTAGAATTACTGGGGATGGAGGCGTATAGATATACCAACATCAAAAAAATTGAGATATGCCCTCCCTCACCCCCTGCTACCATTTACCTCTAATGTTTTAGCCCTAGAAAAATTCGGCCGGAAATTATCAGGATGGTACTGAAACGACAAAAGACGAAGTTTGAGCGATTTTTAGCCTTTTTAGTAACATTGTGTAAAAATTTCCTTGAAATCCGGGCGGTACTTCTCAAGTTATAGTCGTTTATAACATTAGCGGGCAGGCCGACCGACAGACATAACGACGGAAATGTGTGACATGGTTTTTCGTGATGTACATGTCATATAACATTCAAAAAGCATACTCAGTTTCGAAAATTTTTGCTATTACAATTCTTCCCCGCCAGTAGGCGTGGGAAGTAAAGGATGAATGCCATTAGACGATTTAGAGAACTGTGCCTGTTATGAAGCTGAACAAGTCGCTTCAGTCCGCTGTGCAGTTTTACTGCGTAAATTAGGGTATAGTAGCGAACCTAAGTCTCATCCATAACTTTAAATTAGTTTATTTTTTGCAAGTTGATCCATATATTGTTGACCAAGTCTTCTTCGAATTCGTTTTTGTTTTGATTTGAGATGCCCGCATCCTCAGCAATTTCATGCCTAATCATTTGTTTATCTCGAACGTTATCATGTACAGAACTATCAGTATCATCGGTAGTAGCCTGCATGCCTCGTGCACGACCACGTTTAAATTCGGTAATCCGATTAAATAAATACTATTGATGGCGAACGAGCATCACTTCCTAATATATTTACAAATATCAGTATAAATTTCAATTTTGTAATTAATCAACGCACATTTTCAAAATGTTTCTATTTTGTGGCACAACACAAAAAATATTTTATCACCATCTGGTGCCAATTTCAGGCTGCTGATTTCGGGAAAAATATTGTTAAGAGGTCTAGGCCCTCAGGCTTTTGAGGTGGTATTAAATTTGCAATTAGTAACCAATTCCATCTACTTTACCTGGGTTTTGCAGCACAAAGGAGTTAATAAGATTACTTTAACAAACATTAAGTTTATAAACAGCTTTTAAACAGTATTTACAGTTTCCTATATTTAAATAATTTATTTATGATACAAAATTACCACTCGGTTCTTAGTTCATCATCTGATGATTCTGAACTTTCAACACTCTCCCAAGCGGATCGGAACTTGAAACAATCTATTCAAGATATATATGTTACAGAATTATATTAAAATTCACACCATGTGTATTATAATTTTATCAACTGTTGGCGTCATAAGGTTCCATGAACACGATAAAGCTTTTGAGAAATAATGTTTAATAAAATTCTTTGCTTTCTGCCGTCTTCGCTGAAATTCCGACTTGAGCCTTAAAAATTCATGTTTGGTATCCTTCTGTCGATGTGCGGAGTAATTGTCTTGATCTACCAGGAAATTTTCAAAGGCTTCTAATTTCTAGCCGAAACTGGGCAATTGCTGGCTATCCATAAGTTCAAAAAGGTCTCGCCTTAAAAGACTTCTCACTCCAGATGGACCTAAAATAACATTTGCCCTTAAGTTTTTTTTTTATACTCCAAGTACCACGAAGGCCTAAGGCCTAAACACCCATTGGGTACCGTGGGGCTATAGGGGGATACAGGGGAAAGGGGGAACGCCACACGGACTCTGGCGAGGGAACACGTGTGCATGCAACATGCACACATTCTGGCTCCGCCTACGAGATACGCCGGGTGGTACCTCCACGTTCGACAGTCAGAGACCATCTACCACCTACGGACAATCACAACATCCATAGCCAAGAGAAAAATTTCTCCTGGGACGGGACTCGAACTCGCACAGCGCACGGCGACTGATCAGGAGACCGAAGAGTCTACTACTGCGGCCACCGCTGCTGCCTGGCATTCTAGGTTAATGTATGACATTTCGAGCGATCATCTTCCTATCGTACTGGAAGTGGGTAATGAGCAAACCTTGAAAGGGGAAACTCTTCCAAGGACAATGGTTGATTTTGAGCTATACAGGTGTCTCTCCTTAGAGAGTTCCCCAATATCCCGATCACAGATGATGAGAACCATATAGAGGCTTTTCTCACTGCAGACATTCGTCGGACCGAGTTGAATGATTTGAAATTTATTTGTTACATAATTTGAACAATCAATCATGTTAAACAAAGTTATCGAAACCCATCGGGAAGTATAACTCTTCTCAGCGGAGCCGTGGCAAATTATTGTTCCAGAAGTTGTATTCAGTATACAAGTTCTTCCCTTTCAAGTGGCTTTAAGGAACGCCTCAGTACTGATTGCCGGATGGCGGTATAGATCCGCCAACGGGCCACTTTAGGCCTATTCAACATCATTAACATGCAAAAAGAGGGTCGTAGACAAGGATCAGTCGACCGAGGCGGTACCACCCGCTAGCTTTTTCCAGGGTGCCTTAAGAATGTCCGCATGTTTCCACACCTAAGAAACAACATCGATGATAAAATTTGTTTCACGAACATCTGCTGGATAAGAGCATTGATGCTGTTCATCACTACCTGCAATCTAAACGTTACGCCATGTTTTTCTTCATCGATAACCAAAATCAACCTTAATGAGATGCAGTGGAAGTGCCTAGACCAGGGTCCAATGACTGGTTCAACGAATTGTGCGATACTGCTCGTCAGCAGAAGATCAAAGCACACAGAACCTTGTTACAAGACCTAACTGTACAGAACAGTACAATGCTTCCAAAACACAGTACCTTGACAAACAAAAAGCGTTTTAGCGCTCACCTGGTTTCGATGGGTGACCGAGTCTTGTCAAAGAGCCGTTCATTTCGGCAGGTCGGTTTCAGATCACTGAAGACATGATCTGGCACGAACACATCTAGTCAATAGCGGCAGCTACTGTGAAAAAGCTAGGCTATTTGGTTAAGAAGTTGGCTAAGAAGCACTTTCCTCCACATGACCTCCTCGCACTCTATGCAGCCAGACAAACCTGCCTGACTTCGGCCTCCCATCCCAATCGTGAGAAACTTCGTACATCCACAACTGGCCGATACGACCGCTCCTTTGTCCCTGGAGTGCCAAGATTGTGAAATAATATACAAGAGGAGGCTTTTCCCAGTTCTAATAACCTTTTACAGTTCAAAACTCGTATTAACAAAGTTTCTTTGGGATCCTCGTAGCAGCCACGGTGCCCTGGTGTTTAGGCTTCTGCCCGCGCAGCTGCTTCTGTGTAAAGAAAATAGAATCATTATCGAATGTTGAAATTTACAACAAGAAGCAGCAAAAAAACAAGAGCATCTTTCATATTTTTTATTGCCTTACCCCATATTTTAACTATTAATAATATGCAGATGCTTACCTGGTAGAGTAGTCGATCTAATAAAAATTTGATTGGCAACCGATGGCACTGAACTATGCACTCACAAATTTACTGTTGATGTGAAACAAAATAAACTTACAGTACAGGCAACTTCAAACTGGTTTTTCGTCTCATTTGATCAACCAAGGAAACAATTTATGCCTATAACTTACATCTCCCACTATTCTACTTGACTATTCGATGGGGTTTTTCCACCTCCGCTGTATTTTGTGCAATTGTTTTTTGTCCGGATAGATTATAACTTTACTCCTCTGTGCACTGTATGAAGAAAAATATTTTTCAAATCAGCTTGAGGCTTCGCCTAGGCAACATCAGTAAAACAGCAAAGCGAAACGTTTTCTGATATCAATGCCTCATGTATGCGACTACAGAAAGTTTTCAAATCATCTAGTAGAAGAAACCTCATAGTAGCAAGTCCGTTCGTTCACAGAGCAGATCTACTGCACTTTAACCTTCTGTTGAAAAATATCGGTCCTTGGTTATGATTTAGTTCCATTTACTTTATGCGGAATAGCTCGATGCCAACATGAGCCAGCAAAGGTATACAGAAAGTATGCAGAAGCTTCAGTAGTGCCAATAGCATCCCTATTTTTATTCGACTGCTTTAGAAGGAGGGTTATGTTCTTCGCGGGTGGGTCTGCATGTATGTGGACAAAGAATTCTAATTCACGGGCTACAGTCCGAAAGGCTTGATGGCTTTTGATACATAAGGTGTAATTAGGCTTGACTTAACAATGTGAATCACACTGTGTATGTTATTTAATTTAAGATCAATTTTGAAATGTCTATTCCAGGGGCTATTTACAGCTCGAATGACTTGATGAATTTTTTACGCAAAAAACCTATATATAGTGTCTAAAAAACGACAAAATGTCAACTTGCTCACTAGATAGTTCTCACTATTGCTCACTATGAGCGTCACCCGTCATCATCTGCGGAAAATGGCTCAACGACATGTTTAATGACCAGCATGCTTTACTGGTTGCAAAACGCCGAGATTGGCTGAGATAGTCTGAAGAATACTCGTATATCTCTGAGAGGATGTGACATAGAAAATTGGTTGTTGGAGGATCGCATCTGGATGATTGTACGGTGATTGTGTGAATTGTTATAAAATCAGTGACAATTGCTATGTGAGAAAATCATTATTGAGTTTGCTGCCCATAAAGTATATCTGTTAGCTGTACCGGATAGGTTATTTGTGTTGTCCTTTCTGAAGAGAGATTATGTATAAAGTTATAAATCACGATTTTCCCAGATTCATTTGCATTTTCAAAAACTTTGAGAAGCATTACGGCAAGTTAGCTCCGCGCCCGCCTTATATGTTATATTCACATCACAGAAAAATCTGGAATGACGCATCACACACAATACATTTTCGCAGTGCCTCTCATCTAGGCGCTAATTGGTATTTTCCACTTGACATCGCAAATTTTTTTTTCTCTACTTTATTAGCGATCAGAATGTATGTACATTCTATAAGCTAATTTGCTGGATGGTACAATTTTTAAGTAGTTGTACCTCATGACGGGATGAAGCAGACATCCATCGATGTCACCTCAGTCTTGCAAGTCTAGTGGCAATTTCCTTTTCAGTCTCCTGGTCTCAGTGGGATCTAATAGCGATGGCAGCAGTGGGTTTGGATGGTCGCTAAGCCTAGCATGGTGTTTGCAACTTCTTTCCATGATGACTTCCCTGATGAATGGGATTTTCAGATCCCTATGGAGCGTTCCATTTGAGACATACCAAGGCGCATCTGCAATGCTTCTAAGGATGTTTGATTGAGCTCGTTGAATGATTGAAAGGTTTGACTTGCTAGCGCAGCCCCAGAGTTCGATCCCGTAAGTCCAAATGGGCTTGATGATGGCTTTGTATATCAGTAACTTTTTTTCTATGCTTAGTTTTGATTTGCATCCTATCAGCCAATTTAACTCTTTACTTTTCAAGTCCATCTGTTTTCTTTTCTTGGATAAATGTTGCTTCCAGTTTATTTTGTCGTAAATATGCAATTCCAGGTATTTAACACTTGCATGTTGAGGTATGGTCACTTGATTCAAGGAAACAGCTGGGCATTGTCCTTTGCGGAGAGTGAAGGTGATGTGCGTGGATTTGGTTTCGTTGACCTTGATCTTCCATTTGTTCAGCCAACTTCCTATATCGTTTAGGTGCCTCTGTAGTTTACTTGAAGCGTGGTCGGGATCTTCATCAGTTGCAAGAATCGCCGTATCGTCTGCAAATGTGCCAACTGTTGTTTCAGTTGTTGTGGGTATATCCGCTGTATATACGACATATAGTAAGGGACCCAGTATGCTGCCCTGTGGGACTCCTGATTTCATAGGGTAGTAGCTTGAAGTCTCACTGTTTACTATAACTTTGTAGCAGCGGTCACTTAAGTAGGATTGTAGCAACTGGAGGTACTTGGCTGGCAAGACTTTCTTTATTTTATGCAACAAGCCTGGATGCCACACTTTATCAAATGCCTGCTTCACATCTAGGAAGGCTGCCGTACAGTATTCTTTTCTTTCGAAGGATTTGGCGATTATATCCGAAAGGCGGTGACACTGCTGCACAGTTGAGTGAGCCGGCCTAAAGCCAAACTGATGATTAGGGATCCAAGCTAGCCGATCCAGTTGGCCATTTATTCTATTGAGGATAAGTCTCTCCAAAAGCTTAGAAATTACTGGCAACAGGCTGATCGGGCGATAAGAACTAATATCCATTAGATGTTTTCCTGGTTTCGGTACCATAATTATTAGCGCACCCTTGAAGGACATGGGCAAGTAGTCTAGCCTTATAATCGCATTAAATATATAAATCAATTTCATCAAGCCTTTCTTGGGAAGTTCTTGTAACATTTTGCCTGTGATCATGTCAGCTCCGGGAGCTTTTTTTATATTTAGCCTGTTTATTTCATTTTGTAATTCCTTCGGAGAGAAAGGTGCTAACCGTTCTTGAGTTAAAAGATGAGATTGGCTTCATCTACTTCCTGCACTGGATCGTCATTGTGTGGGATGAACACTTCGGCAAGGTGTTGTGCAAATGCGTCAGCTTTTTCTTTATCGCTTTTTGCCCATTGACCATTAGCTACTGTTTGGCTACGGATTGGGGGTGATGTAGAATGATGTTTTCTCTTAGCATTTATGGGCTTCCATATGGAGTTATCTTGTCTCGTGAGTTGAGATACGTAGCCTTCTATGGAGCCATTCCTCATCTCTTGAAGTTTAGACTTTAGCTTATTACAGCAGGTGTTGTACTTTGTTCGGCTGGCTGGCGTGCGGGTACGTTGCCAAATTGATCGTGCTCTTCTCTTCTCTGCAACTAGCTTCTTTATTTCAACGGGGATATTTTTTATTTTGTAAGCACAGTCTATGAATGGTGTGGATTCTTTCGCTGCCTGTTGGAGTGTACAAATAAAGCTATTGCAGTCGACCTCTATATCATTTGGCTGCTTCAATCTGGTTGAGAGATTGATGTTATCTACAATTATCTGTTTGTATCTATCCCAATTTGTTTTGTTATTATGCAATCTTGGAGTGGGTTTCTTACATATCACTGCTGTGCTCAGAGTTAGGGTAATTGGGCTGTGGTCTGATGTGAAGTCAAAGCTTGAAGATATTTCTGTATAAGATGAAGATATGTCACTAGTTATGAAGAAGTCTAAAAGATCGGGAAGTCTGTTTACATCTGTAGGCCAATAAGTAGGTGCTTCTGGTGAAATAAACGTGTTTTCTAATATGACTTGTATCAGTTCTCTTCCTTTTGTTGTTGTGAGCCGTGAGCCCCATGTGGTATGCTTGCTATTGTAGTCCCCCCCAACAATGAATTTTGGACCAAGAGTTATTAAGAAATTTTTGAATTGCTCTTTTTTGAGGTTATGACGTGGTGCACAGTAGACAGCTGATACTGTTATATCGTAAGGAAGCCTGTTTACTTTTACAGATGCTGCCTGGATATGGTTTTCTTCATACTTAGGCATTTCGTGGTGTTTGATTGTTTTTTTAATAAGTACTGCAGCTCCTCCATGTGCTGTACCATCGGGATGATTTGTCTTGTAAAGTATATAATCGGGTATAAAAAAATAGCTTCTTTCAGTGAAATGTGTTTCACTGATTAGTAGGACGTATATATAGTTTTGCTGTAAAAACAACTTAACTTCTTCTTTATGACTAGGAAAACCATTGGCATTCCACTGGGCAATTCTTAGAAAAATGGCCATTTTAATTGACTTTGTTGATTAGCGTGGCAATCATATTGAGAATCAGACTGTTTTGTTGTAGGAGCTGGTTGAACATATTTTTAAATTCATCTAGGAATTTATTCATTGTAGAAGTTAGGACTTATCGAGTTTTCAGTGTTGTTGGCTACTGCATCTGCATACGTTCTTGAGTATTGGCGGTTAGTGGCGGGCTCAACATTGTTAACATAAGCTAGTTCACTAGTTATAGGTGGTAGGGGTGTTTGGAAGGTGGGATTTTTATTTTTTAATGTTCTGTGGTAGTGTTCGCAGCCTCTATAGTTTGCAGTATAACTGCCACCACAAAGGACACATTTTGCTGGCACATCTTTCGGCTTCTTGCAGTCCTTAGTATTATCGGGTCCACCACATTTCACACATAAGTATGGTTTGTTGCAGTATGTTTTAGTATGTCCAAATTGTTGGCACCTCATACACTGGATGATATTGTTCTTTCTAGGTCTGGGTGGCTCTATTTGAATAGTTTTATTCTGTAATCCTCTGATGTTATATATATATATCTTTATTATTTTCGGCTGGCTCAAGATCTACAAAGAATAAGTTTAGTGGTTCTTTGGTAGTCCTATGAAGAACATTTATTATGCTGCGAACTTTGTGACCCAGTTTTCCCAGCTCCTCTTTTATATCATTGATTTTTGTAGAGTGATGTAGATGCCTTATCACTACCCTGTATGATCGCTCTTCTTTCAGTTGGTAGGTATGGTGAAAGATAGTATTTTCTTTGAAGTTTCTGATGAGCTTACGGTATGATTCTGGGGTTGCGCAGTTTATTTTCACAACGTTGTTTGCAAGGCTCTTCGTGATATATTGCTCGTCTTCTAATATGTCTCTAATGGTGTCGACCATTTCCTCGTAGTTGATCACTCCATGAACAAAGATTGGGGGTGGCTTTGGAATTCGTTGAATGTTATTTCCATTATCACTTGTTTTGTCTGCTAGGATATCAAATCTGTTGTTTACAGTTACAGTTTTCGTTGTTTCTTTGTTCTGCTCTTTGGCAACTTTCCTCCTTTTAACGCTTCTCATCACTTGCCACGGGTTATTTCTATTTTGTTGTGAGTCCTCTAATTCTTCTTCACTTGTTGATGACATTCTTAGTATTTGATTATGCTCTATTACTGACACATCCTGGCTATGAGTCATTGTTGAGGAAATGGACATCGCAAAATAAATTTCTATAAAATTTAAATGACTGTAAACAGAAAACAATGTAAAATGTTATAACTTTTTCACGTTTCATAAATATTCGTATCTGTGGCATATTTTCTCACCTTTTGGCTGTAATATACTTCACCAATCAGGGATTTTCTTTTCTTATCTCTTTCATTTTTGAAATTCAGCAAACCTCCAGGATGAATAAGAAAAAGTGGATGCCCAACTAATGGCATACAGCTCTAGTAAGTGTATTTGACACAAGCACACAAGCTATAGTACACAACTTACAGCTTATACGAGACCGCCAATAATGCCATCTCTGAAGCAGATGTTACATCACAACAGAGCCGAACACTGATCTCTGGAGCATCATGACGTTTAGACAACACCTGCAGCTTCAGAACGAGTGCACTTCAAGTAAACAGCTATTTCTAGGTAGTTTTGTAGAAAAAACATACAAAATGTCACCAAAAACCTATATAATATCAAAAAAACTAAATTATGTTACTTTGCAAGATACGTAATACCCCAGCCGTCCGGTACCCCGTCCGGCGGAAATGAAGATTCCATTTTCACTAAAACTTCATTTTTTTCAGTTACTGCAGTCGAGTTCTCTGTTACTTTTTCTTTAAGTACTTATTACTCTCCTGTCTACTAGACTACCGATACTGGTGTGTTTCGTAGTAATCTGCTATAAATATTGGCGCAGTATAAGCGCACCCTTGGCAGATGTGCATTTTCGAAATTAGCCGTGCGAGCGCTGCCCACCCGATGCCGGTAACTCCCCTTAATCGCTGGGAGAGTCGGGAGTTCAGATCATACCCCTATTAATCCTAATTTTAATGTGATAGATGATCGGAATCTCCACCCTCTGACGAATTGGGGTCACATGCACGCTAGCACTACCCTCTGCGGTATTTCCTCATACACATATGACGATATTACATGAAGTTGTCACCGTGCTTGCACTTAGCACTTACTATAAAGTTAAGAACTACAATTGAATTTTTAGACTAATACAGGGCGTAAACGTTATGATAGTCATGATTTAAATGGGTGATAGAGGGGTTTAAAAGAAGCAAAAAGTTTCATATAGCATGGGGGTCAAAACGGCATTTTTTTTAGAGAAAAGCGACTTTAAAGTAAAATAACATCTGACAACGCCGCAATGCCAGACGCAAATTACGACGGAACGCAGTGTGAATAAAGATGGAGTTTGTTATTTTTGGCTCTTATGTGTTATTTCACTATTTAATAATGTAAAATTAAACAATTAAAAAAACGGAATAACCACTAACTGTCTCAGCGCTTCACCTGGTGCGTGAAAGTTTATTGAACGTATTAAAAAAATCCACTTATAAATCGGGAACACAGTGTTGATACATACATTGTTTTTCTTTTTAAGACCCACACTGCACTTTTTTTGTATTTAAAGAAGGTGTTCAAAATGCCGTCCTAGACTTTCCACACAACCTTCATTACGACGAACCCAGTTTCTTCTTACTCTAGGTCCTCGAAGTTGTCCATTTAGTATTTCAGCCGCTGTAAAAATTTTTTC